GCCGGCCCCCCCGGCCTGCGCCGCCGCGGCCCCGCGCGCGAGCACCCGCAGCTGCCGCCTTCCAGCACCCGGCACCCCCAGCCCTGCCGAGTTTTGGCCTTTTAAGGGCATCTTGGACCATTCTTGTGAATAAATGGGTTTGTGGGTCAGCGATGCACCACGCCGGTGGTAGAGTGACCTCCGTGGGGCTGTGGGTCAGGTCTGGGGACAGGGGTGGATGGAAAGGTCCTCTATGGGCATGGCTGGTGGATGGTGCCAACCCAGGCTAGGCTGGTGGCTCTGTGGGACATCAGGGGCTTGTCACCATGGTGGGTGACCACCAGCCCAGCTCTTGGTTGGGTTGAGGCTGGCACAGAGGCTGGCATGGCCTGAGCTGTGGCAGACAGCAAGGGAGCAGCCTGGGTGATGCCATGGGGCTGGACATGGTGTCGGGCAGCTCATCACCAGCACCCTGCTCAGCCCAGCGCTGGGATCCCCCGTCTTGGAGGAGGCTCCGGGGCCGGGAGGCACCTTGGGGTCTGCAGCCCCGGAGCCAGCTCCGAGGGGCAGCTGGCACCCCCTGAAACCCCACCCTTGGCATCTCCTACTTATTGGGGGGTCCTGTATTTCACCCTGGTCCTGTAGCTCTGGGAAAAAGATATAAGCAGTGGCACATCTCCTGCCTGTGGTTCTGCTTCACAGGGACCAGTGGGGTTTGCACGATGAGTTTTGCTTTTCCTTTGGCGCCAAGCTGGGCTCTCAGACCTGGGCTCCTTTGGGGTGCAGGAGGTGGGCTTGGGGTGGAGGTGGGGAGGTGTTTTCCCATTTTTAACCCTTGTCTTCCCATTTAACCACCCTTTGGTAAGGAGAAGGCAGGGGGATCCCAGCAGGGAACTGGGTCCTTCACTGATGCATTGTGGAGAGGTGCGGTTCTCAGGGCGAGGGCAGGGTTTGGTGACACCTGGTGCTGCTGGGACCCTGTCACCACTCCCACAGGCTAGGGGTAGGAAGTGTCCTGTGCCTGTGCTTGTGCAGCCCCAGCCAAAACAGCCCATGGCCCACATGGATGGGCCTGGCAAAGCTCTCCAGCGCAGCCAGAAGCCCCAGCGGGGGCCAGCACCCACCGCAGGGCTGGGTGATGGCTCAGGACAAGGGCACTCGCCTGCTGCTCCATCCCTGCTCCTGCCTGGGGGAAGGTCTCCCTCTCTCCACACTTGCACCTTGGGCAGAGCATGGCCATCCCTTCCAGGCTGGGTGGCCGTAGTGAGTCCCTGTGGCCACCGAGGATGGGCCACGGGGATGCTGGCAGGGCAGTACCCAGCCATCACGCTTGGCAGCTTTGCCCTGGGGAGCCCTTGGCCCCCCACAGCCATCACGTATTGAGTGGGAGGGCTATGCTGGGCTGTGCCGTCACCACCTCCAAGCCAGGCGAGGAGTTGAGGAAAGGCCTGGCATGCTGGCATCCTCCTGCAGCAAGTGCAGAGGGCACTACGGAACTGGCACAGACCCATCCTGGTGACAGCGAGCGCGGGCCACAGCCCTCAGGACTCCTCATTCTGCTTCAGCCTGGGAGGCGTCACCTCAGGATGGGCTCCATCACCATGTCCTCATGGCATCTTGGGGTGTTCTTCATCACCCAGGACGTCACCTTGGGGTGGGTTCTATCACCTGGAATGTCACCTCAGTTGGGCTCAGGGCCCAGGACTCAGCACCCATGGGAACTCCCCACCCTGACCATCCCAGACAAATGGCTCCCAAGGTAACCAGTTTCCCCAAGAGGTGGGGGACTGCTGTGTCCCAGTGACACCCCACTGGACTCATCCCACCTCCCCCCAGCATTGACACAACCATGGGCACCACTGCCATTAGGTGCAGGAGTGGCCACAGTGAGGCAAGGGTCTTGGGGTGACACAGGCACCCATGGATCTTGGTTGCTTGTGCCACCTACATCCCTGTCACACCCCTGGTACCTTGCCTGGAGGAGATTCCGGCCCCTGTGGGTGCCCTATCTCTCTCCCAAACTGTTGCCTGAGGAAAGCAAGGCAGATGTCAGGCAGGTTGGCTTCGCTGTGACACCCTCTCCCATCAGCCATCCCTGTCGTGGTGTGTAGGTGACAGCCAGGCAGGCAGGACAGCTGGGACACTTTGCTTGTGCATGGCCCCGGTGGCACAGAGGCACCAGCAGGTCCCCATGAGACAGCACCAGGCTGGGAGGGCTGTGCTGTGCCCCACTCACCAATCCGCCAGCCCCACACAGGTGCCAGATCCCCGTGCTGGGATCACGGGCTCGCTGGGGTGCTGAAACCCCAGCTCAGCTGGTGGGTCCAAGGGTGACCAAATTGCTCATAAAATTGCCTGTTCCCCAGGCGCTGCAGGAATAGCAGCAGGCCCTGGTGCCTTGGCAGGGCTTTGCTGGGCTATTTTCAGCCCACAGGGACATTTCCCTTGTAAGCGATAACCCAAGGAAGCCAGTGAGCTCGTGTGCTGGTGGGGGCTGGCGGAGGGGCCGGGGAGTCTCCAGCCGGGCATCCCGAGCCACACTGGGGTGTTGGAAGTGGCAGCACGGCCCTGGTACCGGCCAGGTGCATGGCTTGACCCTGCCTGCCTCCCCGCTCGTGGGGGCACGCCGTGGAAGAGGGCTTGGAGCTGCGTGGCCCCATCCCTATGCAATGGCTGAGCTGGGATCCCCTGGGTACCACTGCTTGGCATGGTCAGGCAGCATCTCTGCCTGGACTTTCCCATTGATATGAGGATCTTGTGGGACGATGGATCATCAGGCTTTAAAATCCAGGCTGATGAGTCCAAGGGCTCTCACTGTCCTGCCCAGGTGCCCAGGAATCCTTACGATGACCAAAGAAGAGGGATGGGGAGTCTTCATGCAGGAGGACTCACATTCAGTGCATGGAGGATATCCCTTGGGGCCACCAGGGAAGCCCTGGGGTGGGTTGGTGAAGCCTCCCATTGCTGAATGCCCGGGGACAGGACCAGCGTGACCTCTCAGGAGTCCCTCCTCTGGAGGAAGGGGCTTCTCCAGCCCCAGTCATGGCACAGCGCTTCCCTCAGGTCCTTCAGCATCTCCCTGGGCTGCAGACCCCATGGGTAGATGTTCCTCAACGTAGAGAGTGACATTTGCCTGTGCCGAAATACATGCTGTTTTCTTGCCGTCTGCTCACTTATGGACCCAGATCTCCCCTGGCCAGGGAGCGGTGGCTGCTTTGTCTTCCACCGCCCTGATCTTTGTGTCTTCTGTAAGTCAGGAGTTCAGGTTTTCTTCCAAATCTTTAGGGTGAATGCCCTGTGGGGAGACAGTTGAAAAAACACCCAGCAGAAGTGATTCCCTATTTTCATCTCTATATTTAGGAAGCTCCAAGCCTGGTTTTAATCCCTTTGGTGCATCCTGGTGAGGTTTCTTTACCCTTTCTTAATCAAAATATCATGCAGTTCTAGCAGACTATTTATAGAAATCAAATCAATTTGTATTTTTTTTCAACTAAACTTAAAATCTCGTCCACAAATGAAGTCAAGTTAGTCTGACGAAGCTGTTTCCTATACACCCGCTGGGCTCTACATTGAAAAACTGGAAAATATTTGGGTTTTGCTGGTGCCTTGGGATCACGAAGCCTCTGGGATGGGATGCTGTGGCTAGGTGTGCACAAGGGTCTGGACAATCAACCCCATCCTCGGCCACTCTTGTGCTTGTGTCCTCTGGGCTTCATGAGCCACTTTGGGACCCTTTCCTCTCCCAGTCGGTGAAAGTGTTGGCCTGGCCGGCTCCAAACTGGTGCTGCAGCTGGGGTCCCATCTGACCTGGCTGATGAAGGGCTGCCGTGTGAAACATGGCAATAAAACACCGGCACTTCCTCCGTGGGGCTTGGTGGTGGCGCCGGGCTCTGCTGGGATAGCACAGGGTGGGAAACAGGCACAGGAATAGCGGGGAG